GTTGATCCCATTTCGCTCGGACCTACTCAGCTTTTAGATCATCACCTCTCCCTTTATTCATTGCTTTTGCTTTCTATGTCGTCGCTGCTTTCACTATAATTATGTTAAAGGAAGGAAACAGTTATTTAGGTATTGTACAAACGCGCAAATGGTTTTTCGATGGGGTCAACAAGACGGGGGGAACTACATACGTACATACTGTCGAATGCAGAGATAGATAGTCCACCCAAACTGTTGCGCGAGCCTATTTAATGCCTGGAACAGCAGGTAGGTACATGAACTCGAGGGATCCCGAATACGTTTCTCATTTAGGTATGTTGCAACCAGTACAAATTGTCTGTCTTTCCGTCTGTACCCCACGGCGTATGGAGAAGCGAAAATGCCTAGTGGCACTAACGTGAACTACGCAAGGGCGTTTTGTATTTGTACCGGCTTCAGTGAGTCACCGCAGACTGAACGCGACACCTTCAAAATGGCTTAGCAGGACTGCCGTACCTCCATCTGGCGTAGTACATTGAGATGGGTTTAGTAAAGGAGTTGAAATAATGTACAGCCGTTTGCAAAAAGTTTTGCCCCCTCGAGTTTTCTACCCGTGTTTATTTGTATTTAGTATTTTGATAGGATTCCTATATAGTTCAAGTGCCGGTATGCCCGAAGATAGCGATGGACCCATCGTCGGATGGTGGTTCCGTACGATTTGGTGGGCCTGGGCCTCGAAATGTATAGGATGAGTAAATACAGATAAACAGCCGTTGAAAACTCGATTGGGCAAAACTTTTGGCTTAAACTTTTTGTATATTCAATGTTTCGTTCAATACTTAAATACTAAGGATTGTTTGTAGCGGCCGGCTAAGCCCGAGACGTGGTTATGGCGTCATTTGATCACATGTTATTGCCCCTTCGCAAGACGCGTTTTGTCACCTTTTTGTTTTCTTTGGCTATTCTGTGATTCCAAGTCAGTTGAGTTCTCTGCCTTTCGTGTTTTCTGATATTAACCGGAGATTCCGAATAATTAATGGACCACTTTCTTACAGAGATGGTTAAAAAACTGCGTCGTTTCACACGAGAATTGCTAGAAGTCTTTCCTAATCTGCAGCCACCATTACCACAAGACTCGGAGCAGCTCACATGTAACATAAAGCTTCAAGGCAAACGAGGCGGAAAAGAACGCGAAGTTTCTCCAAGTGAAGTTCTACAGAGCTATTTATTCACTTTCGATTACTCGAATGGGCTACAAAGTGGGAAACGGACAGTCGTCTTGCGCAAACTCTTATCCCGGTCCGATGACCTTATTGGGCAAGGTCCGATAGTCGTCGAAGTTCGCTGTGATTGTCAAGGCTGTGACTGGAAAGGATCAGACGGTAGATGCAATTGGGTTGATCTTGACCTTGTCATGAAAATCAGCTTTCCCAAAGCAGGACGTGCTCCCGAAGACAAAATCATCCGTGAATTGCTCAATCTTGCCATCAACCAACATGCCTGGGCTCTTAATCATTTACCCAAACTCCTATGCTCTTTCACCGTGCATTTTGGAGGTATCCAAAAAAGACTGAAAATGGAATTAGGCGATGAGATATACGAGGAACAGGTCATTCGGGGATCGATTCAGGAAAAGATTTTCCCTATCGGGCAGGTGAAATCTGATTTCGAAGAGGCTCAGGTCGTGTATGACGCCTTCCAATGTACGTCGCATTTTTTCTAGTTCTCTCTTAGTGTCTAAAGCCACATATCCAGGCCACGAATGGGTGCACGATATAGGGCGTATCCTTCACCGTGATATCAGCATGAACAATCTCATGTTCCGCCGCATAGACGGCGAAGTTTATGGCGTTCTGAACGACTTTGATCTCGCCACCGGCATTGACGACCTGGACCGTACACCGACCTCCAAGCATCGAGCTGGTACCCGACCATTCATGGCCCATGAACAGCACAGTGACAAATGGAACGGTCCGCCTCGCTATCGCCATGACGCTGAATCCTTTTTCTATTTGATTCTCATGCTGGGCTGTAATTATTCTAAACCTGGTACTAAAGTCGAAAATGCTCCTTATGGGTCATGGTTCGACGCAGGGGATCAACATCTCTATTTGTCAAAGCGCGTACTCTATACGGAAGGTGTGTTCTTACCACCCACGAAACGCAGCGGCTATGAGGAATGGGGGCGGCAGATTCAGAGGCTGTTGATACGAGGTTTCAACGCGCGTCTCTCGTTTGAACTGGACAGAGATAATGAACCAGATGGCGGGTCTTTCAATCAAGATACGCTTGGCGGTCACTTCACTGCTGACAAACTCAGGGAGGTGTTGAGTAGGTTTGATAATAGGATCGTCATCAGCAGGGACCCGGCGAAGCTATATCTTAACTTCCCGTCATGAATACCTAAACTCTCCAGTCTCTTTTTCAGTCGTCTGCTTTCCTTTGCTCTTTGATTTTCGTAACACTTTACAGTAATACTTGCATTACTAACTCTTGATTTAATCATTGCTCATGTTTAATGCTTTCGTTGTTGTTGCTTTCGATTAGATTGGAGAAGGAAAGCCGGTTAAGTATGATACACATAAACACAGGAATGGTCGTCTGAGGAATAGTCGTCTGAGGGGCACGCATATGTTACATTATTATGTATCTCAAAACAAGTTCGAACTTATGCAGAACAGGCCAAATAAAATAATGCATTAATGGATGACTTCCCGACAATTTACAGCGGCTTCTTTATTGTCCATGCCGATGATCTGCGACGTAACCGTAGATCCTCTTAAGCGCGCTGACTTTACTAGTTTCAAATTACGCAAGGGTCAAAATAATCGCATCTTGCCTTCTACTCTCACAATTAAACGCGAACTGAGAGGCGGACTAAGTGATTCTGTACAACCACTGCCCGTAAAATCTTAGTCCGCATTCCAAAAGGATGGCGAAAGGTAAGTAGCACTGATTTTCCGATACAAATCGGTGTTATGCAATCTCCTGCAAACTGACGAATATCATATAAAATCTTACTGGTTTTGTTTTAGCCCGATTGTGCGATGAGTGCCGTGTAGCAAAGACAAAGTGTTCCGTTACCCGAAAATAAAAGTACTTGCACTCGATGCTCGACAAACAAACTCGGTAAGCCATTCGGTCAAACAATGTCTAGATATAATGCTATCGAATTGTGAAACCAGAATGCCGACACCAAGCCCTCCCAAGCCGCAGCAGTAAATTCATTCAAAACATACGATAATCTCTTTTTGATTCATTGTTCGCAGGAGCTTCGTGCGACCAATGTCGCCGAGCTAAACGCCGGTGCAGTAGACTGTACGACGATATTGCGCACCCTTGCATCACTTGCCTATCGCTTGCGACGCGTACGTCGTTTACTCGTCTTTCACAGCAATGTTAAAAGCATACGTTACAGGTTGCACAACGACGAGGGTTCGAAAACCTAACGGAAAACATTATTCTCAATATGTCCCTTCCTCTTCGTTCGATTTCGTCGAGTACAAGCCTGTCGTAGAAACTCCCATACAGTCCCCAGATGTAGAAGATAGAGCTGAGGTAATGCATATTCCATTTCAAGTTTTACTTCCTTGTAACTCTTTCCTTTTCACGAAGTCAATTCCGCCTGTTCTTGGACAGACCCGTCAGTATTTTCCATATGGGAACCACGAAGCAATTGTAAACGAATCCCCTGTGAGAGTCTCGTGCAATTCATGACAGTAAACTGATGCCGTATTCCGAATCCTCCAGTTCTTTCATGCAAAACGCAATGATAGCGCCGACGTCTGCATCCTGGACTGCAATTGATTGCTAGAGTATTTGTCGCACAATGTTTCGATCTAAATGCACAATGCAGTCGATACTGTTTCCAGGACCAGCACGACCCGCCTAATCTTCTTCTAAATCGTATTGCTGTGGACTACTGCGATTGTTATACGTTTTAGTCGAGTAGATACTAAGTAGCCATAAATGAAATATGGCCGTTATCAGTGGTTTATGATTCCTTCTGTTCGATGGCGCGTATGTTCTCCATGCCTGATGCGGAAATAGCATTCGTATTAGGTATTCTTATACATATTCGCTGGCGTGACTTATCGTTCCCGCCAATGCTGAAGTGAAGTATCGCGCTCACCTGATTTTGTTGATCCCATTTCGCTCGGACCTACTCGGCTTGACCGGAGAACCCAACAATGGGCTAGGAAATGGCATCGAAAGCTGAAAACACATCTACGAAGAGATCCCTTTCGTAAATTTAAAGTTTACGATGCCCCTCAAATTTCAAATTTTAGCACTCGGAGCACTACCCGAGCATTCTGAATCCATTAATTGCAATATTTTCGACAATCTATGCCTGCGGGAAGTCATCCGTCGAGATCCCTGCTTGTTGTCTAACTCTAACACTTATAACTAGGGATCCGGCGAGGCAAAACCTCAATGCTGAAGCATGAATTTCTACAATTTACAGTTTGATTCCTTTTTGCTTTGTGTCTCGCCCGTCGGTTTCCCTGTATCCGCTCAATTTCCCCGCCATTCTACCATTAAACTACTCTTCAATTCTCTCTATTCACTCATCGCTATTTCCTTCGGTATCATCGCTGTTGCTTTGGATAGAATCAAAGAAAAAAAGGCCAATCACTACCTATGTACGTGCATAGATGCAAGTCTTCAAACTATTATAGCTGCGAACGCGGGTACCTCCAACAACTTCTGTTCGCCCATGAACTCGTTATACGAGTGCTGCTGCTCTCCTGGCTGAGATATCACTCTCGTGGATGTATAGTTTGAAGCACTATGTTGCGGATGGACGACAGAGCGATTGATTACCAGCTATCTAATCCTGAGGAGATATCAGTACTCTACATCAATGGTTGTACAACCACCTCCCGAAGTTCCGGAGGTGTGAAACACATACAATAGGCAAACCGTAAAAGGGTGCCCATGATCGCGGATGATATACTTACATTCAGTATAAAAGAGATATTGGAAACCGAAAAAAAAAACCCTAGGATTTCACAACGTATTGGGGGTACCGCGGATCGAACGCGGGACCTTCAGAAGATGCTTACGCGGAACAAATGCCACTTCAGTCTGCTGCTCTCCCAGCTGAGCTATACCCCCAATAGCAATTCGTCTTGCGGTTCACTTGTCCTCCCTCGGTGCCTGCGACTTACTGGCGTACCAAGTTTTTATCACTTAATCAAGTTCGTACTCGGACTCGGGAGAGAGAGAAGGAAAAGAAATCATTGCAAATGGTATACTATATAGCATGCGAAAATACAGCGAAGTAGATACAGTAAATATGTACTACAATGACCGAAAAACAATGCAAGTACGAGAGACTCGAGAGCGGATACAAAAACATAATAAGTATGTAGCACATTTTAATAAATAAATTAGTTGCGGAATGAGGAAAGAAGAGAAAGGAATGTATGTATCGTATATGTAGGATCGTATAAACACACTTGTGGAATGAGCGAGGAGAAGGAAAGAAACAATCAATGTCCCTTTCGTCAGCGGCCCCAAGGTAAAAATGAGTGAATAAAATTAGGAGTAAGTCGTATTAGTGTCCACCGAACAAAGCCCTTGCACGCCCTTTGAACCCCTTGCTTGTCGATTTTCTGCTGCTGGAAGAGTATGATGGGTCAGCAGGGGAAGCATACGCCGGCGTCGAGTAATACTCGTCCGAGTCGAAGGTACTCGAAGTCGGACTCGGGGACAGGGAGCTAGAGGACGACGATGACGAGGAGCTGGAATGCACCCTCCGCTGAGGTTCTGGATGAGGATAGGTAGGGTACGCAGCGTGCGAATGATAATCGTGTGCGTGGTAATCGTGGTGATGATGCGGACGAGTGTGATGGGGATGGTGAGAATGGTGAGAATGATGCGCGCCTGGATAGGCACCGCTTCCGCCGGATACTGGCATAGCGGAAGGAGAGATGACGTGCATCGGAGGAGGAGGAGCGTGAGCGTGAGAGTGAGAGTGGGTGTTCCGAAGCTGCTGCTGTTGCATTTGCATTTGCAGCTGTTTTTGCTGCTGCTCCAGAGCGTACCGCTTCGCGTTCTTCTCCATCGAGCCTCCGCCGAGGAACTGCATCATGAGCAGCTCGTGGGCGATGAGTTCCGAGGCGAGGGCAGCTTGTTGTTGTGGGTTCGGAGCTGCGGAAGAGGAGGAGGATTTAGATTTGGAGCTGGAACCGAATGGCATTGTTATTGGTTAGGTGAGATAGAACGAGGATAGTATCAACGATATATGAGGATGGTATTAGCGAGGGTTCGATTCCAGAGTCCAATAGGTATACGACTGGAGTCAGGCGATTGGGAGCTATGTAGCAGCTTGCGAAATCATCTAAAATTCCGACCTAGTTTTTATACGCAGAGAAAAGAAGACAGCTATCGAGAATGTGTACCTCGAGGGGTGTGTGTGTACGAAAGGATAATTCAGAAATAATACAATAATCAAAGGACCTGTTAGGGGGAGAAACTTCGCTTCGAACTTTCGAACAACTCATACAAGCCTTTAGGATCCACGAAAGGGAATTGAAAGGAAACTAATGGCGTATGGCATCAACTACTGCCAATAAAAAGACAATTAACGGTATGGAAATCATTTTTGAAATAACAATAAGCGTGAAGATATGAACTGTCCTGAAAACACAAAAAGCAGAAAAAGACAAAAAGCGTATTACACTATTTGTTTGGCTACACCTTCTGGAACAAACAAACGCGGCGCGTCGCTGGGCCTCCGGTAAATGGCATTGCCGGTATTTTCCTTCCCGTCCGTCCATGTCGGTTTCAATTAGAAGACTCGTTTTTTCGCGCTCTCAGAGTTTGAATCCTTATAGATGTACAATATACCCTAGACGCTCTTTTTCTACTTTACCAGAACCTCCGCAGAGTCGTCGCAGTGGCTTTCTAACTCTTACACTAACAGCATTCGCCGGTTTAACAGCTTACGCTGTCGGCTCAATCTACCCACCTTCCTCACTCGCTCTATTATTCCCTTCTCCAGCACCCGCACCCCCTACCGACCCACTCTCCCCCGAATTCATATCTCGCACCACCTCCATCGAAACCCAACTCCTCAACCTCCCCCTCCTCCAATCCCTCCGCTCCTCTCCAGACGCCAACCTATGGTACGAAACCCGACCATACCTAAGCTATCCTGAAGACCGGCGGGTAAATAACCTAACAGCAGGTGCACTCCGCGGTCCAGGTAAGCTAGCTGTACCGCCCGTGGTGTGGTGCAAGAGGGACGAATCGGAGAGTTTTGTGTTTATTCATGTGGGCAGGGGTTTATGTGGGCACGATGGGATCGTGCATGGGGGTATGCTCGCTACGTTGTTGGATGAGTGTATGGCTAGGACGGTGAGTACCCATTTACGGAGCAGGCGTAGACTGGTAACATCGGAATGAGGCAGGAGGGCGAAAGTATAGCTAATCCCTTCGATTCATACGCGCCTTACCATACTTGACAACCTGCTCCTCTCCCCCGCTCATTATTTGTCGCAAACACTCATCATTATCTACAGGCAATCCTCAATCTCCCAGAGCGGATCGGCGTAACCGCAACCCTAAACCTGAACTACCGCGCGCCGACCAAAGCGGACCAATTCATCGTCATCAAGACTAAAATCGGAGAGGTCAAGGGCAGAAAAGCTCATGTCGTTGCTCGAGTGGAGGACCTGAATGGAACATTACTGGTCGAGGCAGAGTGAGTACAAATCACTTTCAAATTTTACGCGCATACCGACCTTGATACTCTTCCCAAAAAATTCAACAGAGCAATGTTCGTCCAACCGAAATACGCTAAACTTCTCAACTCTGCTGCGCTCCGACAGGTCATGGGTGAGGCTCCAAAGGAGGGTGCACCCGTCCATTTGGCGGATGGACAGGATTTGAAGGCGTTGAGTAAGGAAAAGTGAAGTGATGTTCAAAGTGTGTACATGGGGTTTTCTGTGTCATCGTCGTGGTGTTTATTATTCTCAGGAATAGATAGGTGTATGTGTAGATAGAGGATTCTAATATTTCGAACATAGATTCTGGAAGGAATCTTTTGGTTGGCTGCACCTTTGGAGTGAATGGTTTATTTCACCGTATCCAGTCTAACATCAAGCGCGATGGACCAGGGACTTCCAACGAAGACGGACCTGGCCAGCTTGCCAGGTGAGTTTCTGAAGAGTCGACCGACTCAAGTCAAACATCCTTCGAGATTGAGGGAAAATCTACAGTCACAGGGCTGCACGCGACGTCTCTGTATGCCTTGTCATTCGAATCAATCATAGGCACGCCAATTTGCACTTCGCGAAGCTGAGAATTTCTTGTCCTCGAACGTTCTTCAGCTTGCCAATTATTAGTAGTCTGGTATGAACGGTTTGTTATAAATATTGCAGCCACAAACAAGTAAAGACTTACTTGAACAGTTGCAAATTGCATTCCAAACTCACTAGGTATCACTACTGTTGGTTGCATTTTGCGCAGGTGGATCCGAGAGTTCATGCTAGGACAGCATGAGGTAATTAGTTACCCCTTGCCAGGAGTTTTGGAATTTGGACACAGGAATGAGATGTGAACCTACTTTGCCAACATAGTATTGGAGAATACTTTTGGGATGATGAGGTAGATGGAAATCCAAGTAACTGCCCCAGCGGTTACTACAAGATGATGAAGGACTGAAACTTGACACGCACGGTTGAACTTGTTCCATGAGTACTATGTAAGTATCCGGGTTCCAGGTGAGTGCAGTTAAGAAAATAGAGGTGTAAACTGCACTCACGAGAGCCAACAATGCAATCCCAAGCGCACTACGAGGGGAGTTTGACCAATGTTTAGCGGGGGGTGTCAAATTTTTGGAGAGTATTTGGACTGTACGGTACAATCCAGTCTGTACCTTGTAACAACTCCTGTTTCTGAGGTTCAAGATAAGAAGGAGGGTCGGCTGGATCCAGAAAAACACTTACCAATAGACCACAAAATCAACTTGTCAATCACTGGATTTGTCCTAGGTTTGTGAATATGAATCAAATGATAAACACACCGGTGTTGGATAGTAAACGCCCTAAGTACCTTTTATATGCATTATTCCTGTGATGTAACAAATAATACACCATTGTAACCGCAATGATTATATCCGCCGCAGTCCGAGCTATATTTGGACCTATTACCAAGTATGCGGGAAATTTCAGGTACGAGTCGAGGTTATCGTTTGTAAGGATAACAATGAATGCAATCTGGCCCAAGAGCTGAATGAACAGAAGAATGGTGCACACGATTGGAACTAGGTAGGCCAGAACTCGATGTGTGCCGAAACGTGCAATACGGTACGTAAAGTAGCTTTGAGCTGCCGGTGTAGAGCAAATGTAAAATTCAGATAAGTAATTTAATGAAACAAGGAATGATCATCCTACCCAGTATGGAATCCAAACCATGAGTGAGAGCTGCAGCAGCCCAGGAATGTGGGATTTTAAGTTCGAGTGCGTCCTGATCTCCATAATGTACGATTGCAAAGAAATACACGAGGTGAAAGGCGGAGACAGTATGTACTAAATCAATCAGGCTATGAGTTGCATCAATTCATGTCAGTTCTTGAAAGATGGCTGTTGAAGACAACTTACCACATTCCATTTACCTGATCTCGCCGTCGATTTGAGCTCATAAAATTTTCCCTTCATTGAACAATGAGTATGGACTTACCAAGCCATATCTAATCCAGGGTGATTCTTCGGGAAAGTTTTTGTGGTAAATATACACCTGGCAAGTGAACAGACCAAAGAGGACACCGGATATCAGTCCACCGATCAATATAGTACCTGAAATCCATCCATCCTTCATCACCAGCGTTGTAAAAATCTCCAAACTAATGAAATACCTAAAGTATCCTCGACAGCCTTTGACATGTTCTTCTTGGTTCAAACTGGGCTACTAGAGCGTGAGTGGAAATGAACACACAATGCTCAGGCTAGGTTTCCTTCTTTTATGCAATAGCAACCCAGGATCACGGAGCATCTTGATGGGCAAGTCATATACAGCTATTTGTTTATTTGTAGCATAGTTTTCAAAAAACGGACCTTACTGATTGTGTCCAAACAAATGACCCCATATTTACTCCACCACTTGGCTAA